AGAATAAAATGGAATGTAGAATAAAAAATGGAAAATAGAATAAAATAGAAAAAAGAATGGAATGGAATATAGAATAAAGAATGGAAAATAGAATAGAATGGAATGGAAAATGGAAAATAGAATGGAATGGAATGGAGAATAAAGAATAAAGAATAAAGAAAATAGAATAGAATAGAATGGAATGGAAAATAGAATGGAATGGAATGGAGAATAAAGAATAAAGAAAATAGAATAGAATGGAGGTCTTCTAGTCCAGCCCCTTGCTCAAGCAGGAGAACCGATACCATTTCAGATAAGTGACTGTCTGGTCTTAAAGTCTAAGAAGATGCTTGAAAGAATTGCCTTCGAAGCTTGAGAAAGTTAGGAGCAACCAGCAAAGACAGAAGCCTCAAGATGGCTGGAGACAGCTTGGTCGAGACGGGGGACGGAGTCAAGCAGGGAATTAGTCTGGAATCCTTACATAGACACAAGAGTCCAAAGTCCCTTGAATACCCTTGAACCTTATCTAGACTGGCCCAGATACAAACGGCCAGTCTGGGAAGATTCCTCTATTATAGGCTTGAGCAACGCAATACTCTTGTTTCCCCGAAAGTAAGGCCTGCTGGCTCAGGAATTCTGGGAGTTGAAGTCCACGAGTCATAAAAGAGCCAAGGTTGCCTACCCCTGGCCTACACCAACAATAAGCCCTAGCTTGATTTTGGGGGGTAGACCTAATATAAGCCCTACCCCAAAAATAAGGCCTAGTTTTGGGGCGAGGCACACACTTAAAAATCAAGCTAGGGCGGGGGTGTGGAGCTACCCTATGCGCCCTGCACCCGCTTCCCTGGCAGCCAGGCCTCTCCTCACCGGCCCACTTCTTCTGAGGCCTTTTCTGCAGCCAGGCCTGCATTTCTCAGTCACAGGCCTTTCCGGAAGGCCTTGTGCAGCCAAGAACAGAGCTACGGGTTCAAACCATAGTTCGGTTCTGCAAGATCTCTGCAGCCGAGCACCAAGCTATGGATTGAATCCATAGCTCGGTACTCGGCTGCTTAGGCCTTCAGGAAAGGCCTGACTGCACAATGCAGACTCGAATGTAGCTGCAGAACTTAGGCCCCAGAAGAAGTGGACCGGCTGGGTGGTGCTGGAGGTGAGAGAAGGCCTACCCCAAAAATAAGACCTGGTGCCTCTTTTGGAGGGGAAAATAATAATAAGACCCGGTCTTATTTTGATGGAAACACGATTGTTAATTGAACTCTTCACCCATAGATCTGATGGTTCGCGTCTGAAAAAGGTAGACGGTATTTATGACCGTCGCAATGTCTCATCCCCTTTTGCGACCGTCTGACGAGCAAAGTCAACGGGGAAGCCAGAGTCACTTAAAAGCCACGTCACTAATTTAACAACTGGGGCAAGAAAGGTTGTGCCATGGGGCAGTGCTCACTTAACAACCGTCTTGCTTAGCCACAGAAATTTGGGGCTCCGTTTTGGCCGTAAGTCGAGGACTGCCCGTATTCTGTTCTTCCGAATGGAGCCTCCAGCTGGAATGGCATTGTATCTGAGGATTGGGCGCTGGTCCCAAGAATGAGAGAGCCTTTCTTTCTTGACTCCATCATTAGCTTCCCAGAAATGGGTCCTTGTGATACCCACATCAGCCTCGCTACTTCAGGGGTGACTCACCCAGCTGGCTGTTCTGGAACCCGTGACTTTCCTTCCCTCCCGGGGCCAGGGCTGACCATCAACAGCCAGAGTCATCCCCTTTGCACTCAATTGGTCATCTTGCTTGGAAACCTGGCTAGTTCTTCCCCCCCAGTTGTTGGTAGAGTCTGGTCAGTGGCTGGAGTCAGCATCCCTTCTTAAGAGGTGACACCCTCCCCCCTGCCAGGTGAGAGAGGAAGGGGTAGGCGGCTTTAGACCAGGGTCTTTCAAACATGGCAACTCTGGAAATGCGTGGACTTCCACTCCCAGAATTCCCCCACCAGCAGCTTTCTGTTATTCTTATTTTTTTATATTGGTTGATTGGCTGTTTGTTTGTTTGATTGGTTGGTTGGTTGATAGGTAGATTAGATAGATTTGGATGGATGGATGGATGGATGGATGGATGGATGATAGAGATTGATAATATATAGATAAATGGATGTTGATAAGATAGATAGATAGATAGATAGATAGATAGATAGATAGATAGATAGATAGATATGATAGATATGAGAAATGGATTGATAGATAATAGATAAACATGAATACTGTAGGGAGAGAGATTGTTAAGATGATAGTTAAATGATTGATGGATAAATATAGATGATAGCTAGATAGATGATAGGAATAATTGATGATAGATGAATGGATGGATAGATAGTGATAGATAGCGATAGATGGATAGATAGATAGATAGATATGATAGAAATAGATTGATGGATAATAGATGAATAGAGAGAGTGTATTAGATGATAGTTAAATAAATGATTGTTAGAGATAGATTAGATAGATAGATAGATAGATAGATAGATAGATAGATAGATAGATAGATAGATAGATAGATAGATAGATAGATAGATAGATAGATAGATAGATAGTAATGGATGGGTGATAGATAGAAATAGATAGAAATAGATAGAAATAGATAGATAGATAGATAGATAACCAAACCTAATACGTAAAAAAGAAAAAGAGGGAAAAGAGAAAAGTACAGAAAAAAAGTTTCCAGTTTCCTTTGCAGCAATTACAATAATTGCAAGCCGATAATTACAAAGCTCTCTCTTAACTGTAGGATTATCAAAACAAAAAAACCCCAAAAAAACCACCGCCTTTTTTTCGCCCCCACTTCCCTCTGTTATTCTTAGATGGACTCTTTATTTTTCGGCTCCCCTTTCCGTTCATTTTCACAACATTAACTCAGCACCCTGAGCCAAGCGGTCCGTCCATCTGTTCAGGTTTTGTTGCTGTTGTTTTTTCCACCTTCCCCCTTAAACATGGGGGGGGGGAATGAAGATCCCGTTCCTTGCCAAAGAACAGGCAATATTTTCAGAAAAAGTGAAGACCGGAGAAGCTAAAATGCTGTTAACTTTGGGGTGCGGTTCTGTTAATACAGGCAGTCCTGCCTGAGCAGGGGGTTGGACTAGATGACCTCCAAGGTCCCTTCCAACTTTATTATTATTATTATTATTAACAACCTGCCTCCAGAAGCTGTGAATGCTCCAACACTGGAGGCTTTTAAGAAGAGACTGGACAGCCATTTGTCTGCAATGGTGTAGGGTTTCCTGCCTGAGCAGGGGGTTGGACTAGATGACCTCCAAGGTCCCTTCCAACTTTATTATTATTAATTGTGTGTATCGTAACTCGAGGACTACCTGTATTGGGAAACCAAGAGGGGGCTTGGTTTTGGAAGCCAAGCGCTGTGCTGGTAAGTCCTTGACTTACAGCCGTTCGTTTAGCGACCGTTCGAAGTTTCCTGCCTGAGCAGGAGGTTGGACTAGATGACCTGCAAGGTCCCTTCCAACTTTATTATTATTATTATTATTATTATTATTATTATTATTATTATTATTATTATTATTATTATTATTATTATTATTATTATTTGAAAAGGCCTCTTTCTCCTCCTCCTCCTCCTCCTCCTCCTTCTTCTTCTTCCTCTTTCTTTCCCTTTCCCTTATCCGTCACCTCCTCTTCTTTTTTCTTTCCCCCTCCTCCTCCTCTTCTCTTATTCTTTCTTTCTCTGTCTCTCTGTCTCTCTTATCCCTCTCCTTCTTTCCGTCCCATCTTCCTTCTCTTTCTCTTCCATCCTTTTCCCAAAGGTGATTTTTTCAGGAGGCAACTGGACTTTCTTGTTTTTTCTCTGAAAACGTTTCACCTCTCATCCTAGAAGCTTCTTCAGCTCTGACTGAATGGTGGGGAATGGAAGGATTTATCCTCCTTGCAGACAGCTGGTCATTTGCCTCCGTTTAGAGAGTCGTTGAGGCCACTTGGAGGCTTACCTGTGTCCTCAGGATCACCCGAGTGGTGCAAATGAGTGATGTATCTATCTCCAGTCTACAACACGGTCCTTACAACAGTCCCAAGAAGGCTCCACACCCATTTGCACCCACTCAGGTGGCCCTGAGGACGCAGACCAACCTCCAAGTGGCCTCAACGACTCTCTAAACGGAGGCAAATGAACAGCTGTCTGCAAGGAGTATAAATCCTTCCATTCCCCTCCATCCAGGCAGAGCTGAAGAAGCTTCTTGGATGAGAAGTGAAACGTCTTCAAGGAAAAACAAACAACTGGTCATTTGCCTTCTTTTAGAGGGTCGTTGAGGCCACTTGGAGGCTTGTCTGTGTCCTCAGGGTCCCCTGAGTGGTGCGAATGGTGCAAAACCAAGTTAGAAAGAGGGATCAAAGAGGCCATCTAGATCAACCTTGAACAGCCCTCCCTCAACAGAGGGGGGAGGGACACAACATCGTCTATCTCCAGTCTACAACACGGTCCTTTCAGCAGTCCCAAGAAGGCTCCACACCCATCTGGGCTTCTGAGGTGACCCTGAAGACACAAGCAAACCTCCAAGTGGCCTCAACGACCCTCTAAAAGGATGCAAGTGACCAGCTGTCTGCAAGGAGTATAAATCCTTCCATTCCCCATCATCCCAGTCAGAGCTGAGGAAGCTTCTGGGATGAGAAGTGAAACATCTTCAAAGGAAAAACAGGAAAATCCAGCTGCCTCCTGAAAAAAACCCCTTTGGGATGGAAAATTGGAGGGTACCATTATTATTATTATTATTATTATTATTATTATTATTATTATTATTATTATTATTATTATTATTATTATTATTATTATTATTATTATTATTATTCCCCCACCATCTCTGCGTTTTCTTGCCTTGGGCTCAGACGCAAACTGCCAGCCCTCTTTGCAAAATAAACGCGTTTCTTCGGTTCTTTTATTTCAATTTGCTTCCTGTTTCGGACGCCACTTTTATTTCTACAGGTTGGCGCGAGGAAAGCGGGCTGTAAAAATTAAAAAAACATTGTGCTTTTCCTTTCAGCTCCGACCGGCTGATCGAAGAGACGATAAGGTAAGGCTGGAGATGGCTCTCTTCCAAGGGATCCGCCCCATTGCTTCAATCGGCACCTGCCCTGGGGAATCCTGGCATTGCCCGTCCCACCCACCCACCCCCAGAAATCTGTTGGCTTTAACACCCGAGCATTAAAAGACACCCCCCCTTTAAGTTTAACATGTTTTACACCACGATGTAAAAAAGATGATGAGACTCTAGAAAGAGTGCAGAGAAGAGCAACAAAGAGGATCAGGGGACTGGAGGCTAAAACATATAAGGAACGGTTGCTGGAATTGGGTACATCTAGTTTAACGAAGAGAAGGACGAGGGGGGACATGAGAGCAGCGTTCCAGTATCTCCGGGGCTGCCCCAAAGAAGAGGGAGTCAAGCTGTTCTCCAAAGCGCCTGAAGGCAGGACAAGAAGCAACGGGTGGAAACTGATCAAAGAGAGAAGCAACCTAGAACTAAGGAGAAACTTAGTTAGAACAATTAACCAGTGGAACCACCTGCCTCCAGAAGCTGTGAATGCTCCAACACTGGAAGTTTTTAAGAAGAGACTGGACAGCCATTTGTCTGAAATGGTATAGGGTTTCCTGCCTGAGCAGGAGGTTGGACTAGATGACCTCCAAGGTCCCTTCCAACTTCATTATTATTATTATTATTATTATTATTATTATTATTATTATTATTATTATTATTATTATTATTATTATTATTATTACTACTACTACTACTACTACTACTACTACTATTACTATTACTATTATTATTTAATATCTACAATTTCCAAATTTTAAATGACCACAATTCCCTTTATCCCAATTCGTCACAAAATCTAATATTCAGAATACACGTCTTATCTATTTAAATACATCCCATTTCTCACCATCTTACGTCAGCTAGTTAATACTACAGTATAACATTCTTATTTTCTATTAATGTCCAAGTGTCTTAAATTTGGTAACCAAAATTTTCTCTTAGTTCAACATTAAATTTGCTTCCCCTCTTTTTCTCTTGATGTCCACCATCTCACATTTAAGCCAGTAATTTTTATTATAACAGCTAAGTAAAAACATATTTATTACATTTATCAATGGATTTTTAGCTCATAGATGGGAAACTGAAAATTGGGGAAAACTCATTAGGACATTGATTGTCTAGAGAGATTGAATGTTAAAATAACCAGGATATGTATAAACTAAAAATGATTAATAAATGTAAGAAAGTTAATTTTATTTAATTGATATAATAAGAATTGCATTAGTTTAAACATGAGACAGTAAATACTAAGGGGGGAAAAGAGAGGAAATACTTAATGTAGTAGTTTGAGACTTGTATGTTATTGAATTATCGATTAAGTCAGCTGCCACGTTGCTTTTTAAATATTTAAATGTAAAATTAGAAAACCAATTAAAATTTTTTAAAAAATAAATAAATAAAAGACACACACACCCTTTCTCCTGCCTCTTCAAATTCCCCAGTTCCCAAAAGGCCTTCTGAAAGAATTAACCCCTTGAAGAGGTAGTCCTTGAATTAACAATCCTTTCGTTTAATGACGGTTCAAAGTTACGACCGCCTTGAAAAAAGTGACTTAGGACCGGTTTTCACTTACAGCCGTCGCAGCATCCCCAGGGTCATGTGATCAAAATTCAGATGCTTGGCAACTGGCATGTACTTATGACTGTTGCAGTGTCCCGGGGGGGTCAGGCAATCCCTTTTTGCCACCGTCCGACCAGCAAACTCAAGGGAGAAACCGGATTCACAGAACAACCACGTGACTCACTTAACAACCGCAGGGATTCGCTTAACAACGGCAGCAAGCACGGTCGTAAAATGGGGCCCAAGTCACTGAACAAATCTCTCGCTGAGCCACAGAAACGTTGGGCTCAGTTGCCGTCGTAACTCGAGGACTCCCCTGTGATCAGGGAATCTGAGTGATTCCTAAACGTCAGGTAAAAAAAGGTCACGGATTTTATTCCGCTACTCGTTGCCGACTCTAGGGGGCGCTGCTGATCTCTGTTTCTTGGCCAAGGGGAGCCGGTGTCGTCCGAAGACATTTTACTCGGCCTTGTGGCCAGCGTGGCTAAACGCCAAAGGCGCACGGAACACTGTTATCTTCCCACCAAAGGGGTACCTATTGATCTGCTCGCACTTGCACGCTTTCGAACTGCTGGGCGAGCAGGAGTTGCAGCCAGGAGCGCGAGCTCGCCCCGTCTTGCAGTGCTCGGGTCTCAAACGCAGGCTGTCGGTTTTCCATCCGAGAAGCTCCTCGTCTTTAACCGCTGAGCCAGCGCATCATCCCAGGAGCAGGCTTAAACCTAAACTAAACAAACGGTGATAAATCAAGGACTACCTGTAATAATAATAATAATAATAATAATAATAGTAATAGTAGTAGTAGTAGTAGTAGTAGTAATAATAATAATAATAATAATAATAATAATAATAATAATAATAATAATAATAATAATAATAGGGATTTCCTGGTTGTGTCTCATCCAAGCACCAACCAGACCTGCATATTACATAGATTTTGACATCGGCTAATGTTTACCTAGCTCAGAGGTAGGCAACTTTGGTTCTTTTATGACTCGTGGACTTCAACTCCCAGAATTCCTGAGCCAGCCTGGCTCAGCTTGGAAACCTCTCCCTTTCCCCTCAGCATGGCTGGCTCAGGAATTCTGGGAATTGAAGTCAACGAATCATAAAGGGGGCCATAGTTCCCCCATGCTGGATCAGGAATTCTGGGAGTTGAAGTCCACGAGTCATGAAGGGGCCATAGTTCCCCCATGCTGGCTCAGGAATTCTGGGAGTTGAAGTCCACGAGTCATGAAGGGGCCATAGTTCCCCCATGCTGGCTCAGGAATTCTGGGAGTTGAAGTCCACAAGTCATGAAGGGGGCCATAGTTCCCATGCTGGCTCAGGAATTCTGGGAGTTGAAGTCCACCAGTCATAAAAGAGTCAAGGTTGCCTACCCCTCCCAATTGGGGCTCCCCTGTTTCAGAGCTTTATAGATTAGGGGGGGATAAGGGTAGAGAAGTTACCCCAGGAACTTTGTCTTTCATTGTTTCTCCTTTGGTGGCCACGATGCAAAAAAAAGATGCTGAGACTCTAGAAAGAGCACAGAGAAGAGCAACAAAGAGGATTAGGGGACTGGAGGCTAAAGCATATAAGGAACGGTTGCTGGAATTGGGGATGTCTAGTTTAACGAAGAGAAGGACGAGGGGGGACAGGATAGCAGTCTTCCAGTATCTCAGGGGCTGCCACAAAGAAGAGGGAGTCAAGCTATTCTCCAAAGCGCCTGAAGGCCGGACAAGAAGCAACGGATGGAAACTAATCAAGGAGAGAAGCAACCTGGAACTAAGGAGAAACTTCCTGACAGTGAGGACAATTAACCAGTGGAACAACTTGCCTCCAGAAGTTGTGAATGCTCCATCACTGGAGGTTTTTAAGAAGAGACTGGACAGCCACTTGTCTGGAGAGGATGGGTTTTGTGGTGGGGCCCATTTGGGATGTCTCTGTTGGGTTCCTGAATGTACCGATGATTGGAAATTGGAGGTTTTACAAGTTGGCCTTTTGGAAAGCAGCCCGTTCAAAACTCTTTCCTTAATGGGGTCTGCTGGGCTGATTTTTTTTCCCTTTCCTCTCCTCCTCCAGCATCATCTGGCAGCATCTTGTTTTCCCCTGGAAAAAGGGGAGCGATGGCGACTTTCAGAGAGCGAGAGAGACAATCTAAAATGTATTTAACATTAGCGCTTGGCTCGCTGCCTCTGAGCCACGCGGCTGCGGGCTGCAGGCAGCGGCCACAGATCAATAGGGACTTACCACCTCAATTGAGGCCGAAATTTCCTTACCTAAGCAAGGCAGTTGTTCGGAGATTTCTGCCCCATTTTATGACATAATAACAATAATAATAATAACAACAACAATAAAACAACAGTAATAGTAATAAAAAAGTTGGAAGGGACCTTGGAGGTCAAATAATAATAATAATAATAATAATAATAATAATAATAATAATAATAATAATAATAATAATAAAGTTGGAAGGGACCTTGGAGGTCATCAAGACCAACCCCCTGCTCAGGCAGGAAACCCTATACTGTTTCAGACAATCTCTTCTTAAAAACTTCCAGGGTTGGAGCATTCACAACTTCTGGAGGCAGGTGGTTCCACTGGTTAATTAATTTTTCCACCTTTCTTGTCACAGCCGTTAAGGGAATCATTGCCGTTGTTAGGAACATGGTCGTTAAGCAAATCCGGCTTCCTCCATTGACTTTGCCGGTCAGAGGTTGACAAAAGAGGATCCCGTGATTCTCCCCCGGGACACGACAACCGTCATAAGTACATGCCAGTTGCAGGGCGTCTGAATTTTTTTTTTTTTTTTAATTGAAAATTTTAAAAAGTTTTACAATATAATTCCCCTCCTCCCCAAAACCCACCCTTCCCCACCCCCCTCCCTTAGGGCGTCTGAATTTTGATCAGGTGACCCACAGGGGATGCTGCAAGGGCCGTCAGTGCGAAAAACGGTCGTAAGTCACTTTTCCCAGTGCTGTTGTAACGTTGAACAGTCACTAAACGAAACATTATAATTCGAGGACTAAAGACTGCTCTGCATAACGAACCGGGGCTGAGATTCCAGTTTTCAGGAGCGGAGAGGGCCCCCCCCCTTCCCCATAAGCCACAGCCGTGGCGGTTTATTCCACAGCGTCCCCCAAGATGTCGCTCCACAGGACGAGACCCCATGTGCCTTTGTGGGGACGGAAGGGGAGCTGATCAGATTTGCAGGTCACACCACGTTGCGGGGGGAATTGCTCCCATTTTACATGGTTAAGACTCGAGATCCAGAAGGACCTCGGCAGACTTGAACCCAGGGCCCGACCGAACGAGATGCTATTGCCAAGTGTCCCGATTTTGATCCCGTGAGCACGGGGATGCTGTGTGGGGGGAAAAAACGGTCCTAAGTCGCCTTTCTTTCAGGGCTGTGATCATTTCGGTCACTAAATGAACGGTTGTAAGTCGAGGACTACCTGTGTTTGCACATATAGCCACAAATACGCCCTTTGCCTGCCGGCTCCCATCCAGTCTGGCGCTGAGCGCACCGGGAGGACCATGGGAAAGAGCCGCGCTCTTCGCTCCCGCTGGGGGCTCTGGACGGCTTTCGAAGGGATAGGATTGTGTGAAGGAGGAAATGGCTTGTTTGCATTACTTGCTAGGCAAGAGTTGGTCCGCACTGCAGGGGGCTGCAAGAGTTTATTTATTATATGTATTTGCTTGCTTTTTGTCCTGCCTTTATGACTTTATAAGTGGAATGGAATGGAATAGAACAGAACAGAACAGAACTAAAATAAGGAATAGAATAGAAAGAATTACAGAATAGAATAGAATAGAATAGAATAGAATAGAATAGAATAGAATAGAATAGAATAGAATAGAATAGAATTAAAATAAGGAATAGAATAGAAAGATTACAGAATAGAATTACAGAATAGAATAGAATAGAATAGAATAAGGCAAAAGTATAGTATAGAATAGTGTGGAGTGGAGTAGAGTAGAATAGAATAGAATATAGAATAGAATAGAAAAAAGAATAGAATGGAATAGAATAGAATAGAATAGAATAGAATAGAATAGAATAGAATAGAATAATGAATGGAATAGAATAGAATAGAATAGAATAGAATAAGAACAGAAATAGAATAGAATAGAATAGAATAGAATAGAAATTAGCATAGAATAGAATAGAATAGAATAAGAACAGGAATAGAATAAGAACAGGAATAGAATAAGAACAGGAATAGGATAGGATAGGATAGGATAGAATAGAATAGAATAGAATAGAATAGAATAAGAACAGGAATAGAATAAGAACAGGAATAGGATAGGATAGGATAGGATAGGATAGAATAGAATAGAATAGAATAGAATAGAATAGAATAGAATAGAATAGAGTAGGAAGGGACCTTGGAGGTCTTCTAGTCCAACCCCTGCTCAGGCAGGAAAGCCTATACCATTTCAGACAAATGGTTGACCAATCTCTTCTTAAGTAACTCAAGGTGGTGAACAGACTTAATACTCCTTTCTATTTTCCCCATAGCAACAACCCTGTGAGATGGGTTGGGCTGAGAGAGAGGGACTGGCCCACAGTCGCCCAACTGGCTTTTGTGCCTAAGGCGGAACTAGAACTCACCGTCTCCTGGTGATTGGCCCAAAGTCACCCAGCCGGCTTTCATGCCTAAGGCGGGACTAGAACTCACCGTCTCCTGGTGATTGGCGCAAAGTCACCCAGCTGGCTTTTGTGCCTAAGGTGGAACTAGAACTCACCATCTCATAGTGATTGATCCAAAGTCACCCAGTTGGTTTTTGTGCCTAAGGTGGAACTAGAACTTACCTAGTGATTGGCCCAAAGTCACCCAGTTGGCTTTTGTGCCTAAGGCAGGACTAGAACTCACCACCACCTGGCCCCAAATTTGGAGACCGGTGCCATAAGGCATTGAAAAGCCACAGGCGAAGCTATGAAGAGGTCGGTGTATTTGGGTCCGTGGGAAAAAGAGACGCTTGGCTGGTCAATGACTCCCATTTTTTTCCCCCCTCATAGGAACCAAAGTAACACATTGCCCAAATTACCCACCGGTTCCTCTCCCTCCATTACGGCCATTAAAGTTTTCCCAGCACCGAGAAACTATTTGTATCTCTGCCCATCTCTTAAGTGGCTTCGGTTTTCCTTCTCCGGCCACGTCATTTCGCCTTTTCGAGCAGCTTTTCTCTTTCTGCCACTCCCAGGGGCATCCCTCCAGGGGTTGCTTTCTCGCTCCTTCCTGGGCACGCCCCAATTCTCCAAGGAGGATCCCCTGAGTAGGGATGGGTCGGCACCGAATCCCGGGTGGGGTTGCCTAGGAAACGTGCACTCATCCCCTGCAACAGAGGCTCACGTTGGCTTTTCCGGACCTTTTGTTGATCTCACGGATCTGCCCATCTCTGGAGGCCAACGTTTTATGTCTTAAGATGCCTCAGGGCCTCCCCCGCCCCTAAACTACAAATCCCAGGATGCCATGGGAGAAGCCTTGGGGGCCTGGAACAGATTTGCACAAATCAAATATTATTTGTCTATCAAAGAGGAAGAGCCAGTTATTTCAAGTACCGGTAATCCTCAATTTACAAGAGTTTGGTTCGTGACCGTTCAAAGCTACAACGGCGCTGAAAAAAAACACGACTTAGGGCCCCTTTTCACACTTACGACCGTCGGAGCGTCCCCGTGGTCACGTGATTCAAATTCAGACGCTTGGCAACTGACTCGTATCTGTGACGGTTGCACTGTCCTGGGCTCGTGTGATCCTCTTCTGACAGGCAAACCCAACTTCGCAACTGTGTGACTAACTTAACTGCAGCGATTCACTTAACAATTGTGGCAAGGAAGGTTGTAACGTGGGGCAAAATTCAATTAACAAATGCCTCGCTTAGAAACAGAAAATTTGGGGCTCGGTTGTGGTCGTAAGTCAAGGATTACTTGTAGTGAGTTACCTTGGGTGCCAAGTGCCTAATCTCTTTTTTGCCCTTTCTCTGGTTCCTCTCCACCTCAGCATTACCTTGAGTACCAAGTGTCTAACCTCTTTTTTGCCCTTTCTCTCGTTCCTCTCCACCTCAGCATTACCTTGAGTACCAAGTGCTTAATCTCTTTTTTGCCCTTTCTCTGGTTCCTCTCCAGCTCAGCATTACTTTGGGTACCAAGTGCCTAATCTCTTTTTTGCCCTTTCTCTCGTTCCTCTCCACCTCAGCATT